AAGCTGTGGCTGGTGGTGGACTACCTGGTGTGCACCGCTTCAGTCTTCAACATCGTCCTCATCAGCTTCGACCGGTTCATCTCTGTCACCAGAGCGGTAAGGGCGGGCGAGCAGTCCCGAGGGTGGGCTGCAGGCGCTCCCCGGCTGCCCTTGCAAGCAGGAGGGTTTGCTTAGGGCAGCTGGCTCCCACCCCAGACACCACGGGAGACAGGGTAGCGAGGCAGCTCCCCTCCGTCCTGGGAAGATCTTTGGCAGAAGAGAGATTTGCTTCTCACTTTCGCAGTGGAAGAAATACTCTGCTTCAGAAGCAGGCATAGTTTGTAGATGGTGCTGTTCCAGCTAGACGGCAGAGGGAACAAGGTGCACTTACTTCCTTCCCAGCCACACCTCGGATAAGCTTAAAAAGTATGACCCAGCACCTGTTGACAGTTGGTAGCCCTAGCCGCACCCCAGCTACAGCACAAGGCAGAGGTAGATCTCCTTGCACTGGGTACACCAAGCCCTCAAGGAAAATCAGATGTATACAGCTGTGCATAGTTCAGAAGTGGCAGAATATAAGTTAACATGAACATCTTTCAGACGATGCAAATGCTATTTCCATCTAACAGCCACAGAAGGAGCCAGAGCCTTGCCTCAGTCATGCAGCATGTCTGTTATAGAAAAGAAGTAGACTAGACTTTCCAAAATCAATAGCTAACTTCATTTCCACCTAGACCATACTGCCTTAAAGTATTTTGGATGATGCTGAAGTAACACACTTTACCTGCTAATAACCTTCACTCTTATACACACACTTCGTGGGTTATTCTTCAGCCCCCTGTTCCACCCACATTTCCTAAAGTGTTAATTTAGCTTCATTGTTCACTCTAAATCACACTAAGAGGCAACGATGGTTTTTTGGCAAACAGTACAAAGAGAGGCTGCAAGATCACTTTAACAGTTTATATGCAACTTAGTGTTTTACCAAGTGTTTTCAAGAGGGGGAAATGAACAGATCAATTCTTCAACAGTCAACACTTACAATTCCTTTATTTTCTAGGTTCTGAATTAGCCATGAATTTTCCTTTCATAAACCAAACTCATGACTATACACATTGTATAAATATATATAGACTGGATGGTTTCAGAAACAGAAAGGGAAACTGGTCATAATAAATGAAAAACATCAGCCACTTCAAAATACTTTAAATCAATCCTCCATACGAAAATCCCTCCCCAAGCAGGAGTACGGAAGCTGCCTGTTGGGTTAGGGCAGTATAAGAACATATGAACAGGAATATATGAAGTTCTAAATTATTCTCTGTCTCAATGAAAATGATAATCTTCCTACAAGACCGCTCCTGAAGTCGTTAGTAGCTTTGTCAAGGACTGCAAAATCAGCCCCGATTCAGGCAAAGTCAGGCTTCCTCAGATGTGTGGGTATTCTACCAGAACAGCATTGGCTTTGGAGACCAAGAGCCACAGACTGGGGCAGTAAACATGAATCCCATACAGAATTCAAGCTTGAGGGCTTAATATTCTAAAACTGTGTGGCCACAGTAGAGGTGTGAAGATTGAATTCCAATTCACTATACAAATATTGTCTAGTACACCAGAGAATTAGAATACTGAGAAGTAGATGATCTTAAGAGTCTACTAAATTCTACTGCTAATGCCATTTACTGACCCAATATTACCAACGTACTTTTTTTTTTTCACCTTAGATTCTCTATTTTCTAAATAAGGGAAATTAATTATTCTTCCTGTAAAGCACTTTGCAGACCACAACACCTCATCTGTACATCTTAATTGCAGATCAGAGCTCTGCAAGTACTTCATAAAAGAATGAAATTAAGGATATCAAACAGAAGTAAAAGCTGTTATCCACTAGTTTTTTCGGTGTGATTGTCACATTAAGAAAAAAAAAAGCTCTCTACAAAGCAGAGAAAAAAGAGCTTGCATGGGTGCTCTATGAGTTTAGATACTTTTATGTATTTTAAATTAAATGATTTAAAAATTCTTAGTGAATTTTGAGGGGCCATGCTTTTAGACACTCTGTAAACTGGTGTCACAGCTAATGCAACTGAATACGTAAGTAACTGGTGACAAGCAATTCTAGGAATAGCAGTGGTTATCTGCCTTGGAAAAGCCTTGGTTTTCTAGCTTAAGATCCAATTCATGTTCTCAGAACATATCCAGTCACTTTGATAATGTTTGTTGGAATGGGTATTTCAGAAATAGATTTTCTGTGGTATTGGTTAGCTTGGCATAACCCTCATCCCTAAACCAATATACTGTTGACCCTTACAAGTGACAGAGGGGGCCATATTCCAAGGTACCCATGTAACTGTTTGAGATATAGTAATGTATGTGACTTAACTTCTCTCTCGGGTCAGTTACAGGGCTCAGCAAGGGATGACCAGAAATGCAGTACTGAAGATGATCACTGTATGGGGATTGCTGCTTTTCTTCTCTATGGTCCAGCCATTCTCAACTGGGAGTATGTTGCCCAGAAAAGCATCCTCCCTGAAGGAGAATGTCATGCAGAATTCTTCTACAACTGGTATTTCCTAATGATTGCCTCTACTATTGAATTCTTTACACCCTTCATCACTGTAATGTACTTTAACTTAAGTATTTACCTAAACATCAGGAAACGCTCATCGCTCAGAAATGAAAACCTATCACCTGGTCAAGAGGACTGTGAAATCAGTTTGCAAGGGGAAAAAAGGGAACGCACCATTTTTTTTGTAAAACCTGCAAACAGACACAAACATGAGAAGAAAAGAGCAAGCAGCCTTTCTCCCCCCAAAAAGGCTTCAAGGCTCAGCCTACATAAGCTTGACAATCAGTCATTAAATTTGCACATCAATCAAGACCTTCCACCACTTCAGGTGGAAGTCAAAACCAAGCCTCATAGGAATTGTTTCTACAAAACTACAGAAAGCATATGCAACACCACCATCAAAGTGGACATTGCTAACACTATGGCAAATAGATTTAGACTTTCCCGGGATAAAAGAGTAGCAAAGTCTTTAGCAATTATTGTCTGTGTGTTTGGTTTGTGTTGGGCTCCGTATACACTTTTGATGATCATCAGAGCAGCTTGTCATGGGCACTGTGTGCAATATTCACTCTATGAGACTTCATTTTGGCTTCTGTGGGTGAATTCAGCCATTAACCCTGTTCTATACCCACCGTGCCATATGAGCTTCAGAAAAGCCTTTATAAAACTCCTGTGTCCCAGAAAAGCCAAAATTCATCCTCATATTTTTATGTGAATGAAAAAATACGAAGGCTGACAATTAGTACATCTTGCTTTCAGTGGGAGCATAAACTGACTCACTCGCCTGCAAATTAAGTGGAATGTGCACTGGGTAGTTTATGGAATACTGATAAGTAGGTACAAGCGCAGATATTTATGAATGTATAGAAATACAGTCATCCATGTAGCTGGAGAATGACACCAATCAAAAAAGGTAGTTTCTCAAAGCTCGCTGGGAAGTTATGCCAGTAGTATGTTTTCTGGTGATGGTGCACTAGCATTCAAGTGCTGAAGAGGGAACACAATATTCATGGCCAATAACTGGAGTTCAGGCTCTTATTTTTAGTAACTGTAAATCTTGCTGTAAAGAATTTCATAGGGTTAGCCTTGGACCTGTTATGTTTTACCCCCAGTCCTACTCCATAAGACACCAAGGGTCTCAGCTGTTAAGTGTAGTATGCTTTTTCCCCCACTTCATGGCAAGCCAGACAAGATCATGACCAATGCAAATAAATACTGGTGTCCAGGCAAAGCATGGGACAAGAGGCACCAGAACAGTCAGGTCACCAGAGAAGCTCAGCAATTGTAATAGGTAAGGGAACACTGATTTGAGTGGAAAAGGTGATTGACAAATATGACAGTACAATTTTCAGTAGAACTAAGTTCAGGGACAGGACTATAGAAGGGTTTTGAGCTTTGTGATAGGAGATATGACAATTCAGAGTTTATACACTACAGAAGTTTCACCATGAGTTTCCTCCCTCAGCTATGACTTCCAGCCCCCTGCCAGGACCCTGCATGGGCAGGAATCTACTCAAGTCAAATTTCCACTCCTTACAGGACTGACCGGTATTCTCTTCTATCTTTTGCTGTAAGCATAATTAGTCTATGAGATCTAGAACAGACAGATCTTGCTATAGAGAGAGTGTTAGGTAAACTTCCTTTGGAGTAATTTTTAAAACATTTCTGATTAGACTTTTATTAGTTCTGGCTAGCTCTGAAAGGAAAAAAGAAAAAAGTTTTCCCATACACCACTCATTGGATCTATCCATCCATCAAGTCATCAATGGTAAAAAAAAAAAGTATTACTTGAAGCGTTTAGACATTTTCCAAGTCATGCATCAGGAACAGCATGACTCAAAAGTCTGAAAATTCAGTCTTGCTATTGACCATGGGTGTGAAAAAGAATGTAAACAACTACGTACTGCTTCTGCCATTCTGCCTCTGCCACAAGAGAAGCTCACACAGCTAGATCTTGAGTTTTGACTAATTTGTCCCACAAGAGGTATTGATTTGAACATACACAAGTTTGTTTCCACCATCATAAGCATTTTCTACATAGCTTAACAGACGGTTTCCTTTGCTGACAAGAGTGATGCTATTGAACAGCCATAGTTGTCCACTGCCACAGCCACAATGCATGTTAGTATAGTTGATCTTAAAGTTTACAGACAGTATTTTGAAATTATTTACTTTGTAAAATTTCAATAAAAGTAAGAAAGAACTGTGAAAGAGTCAAAACTTTGTAGCCTTAACAAGTGGTACACAGAAAAAAGCACCAGCCTACAACATTTGGGTAACTCCAGCTGAAACCGCAAAACCATTATTCAAGGACTGACCTCGAGGATTAAACAAACAAGGTTAGCAAGTATTGTAAACTAAGAGGGCATATCCCTACTATAAGAATGTATCTACATGAACATGGTCATCATGTTCTGCTGTGGATGTTTTACCACAAAACAATCAGCTTAACAGTTCTCTTAAGAGGAACAGCATCAACAGATAAAAAGCAACACTAAGAGTTTTGAATAGCATTAATTATATCATTAGGGAAGTTAAAGCGATTAGATTATCTCCCCATTCCTCCTCCCCTCCAAACCAGACTTGTACATCACTAAATCAATGATCGGATTGTTGTCTACTTCTTGTTTCCTAAGATCCTGTTTGCCTTTTTCAGAAAACAGCATTAAATTATTGGGCAATCCCACCACGGTCTCATTCACTATCCAATCAAGCCACAATAATTTTCACAACAGCGGTCAACTCAAGCAGTAAGGAAGTTCAGTCAGTTAGCTTTAGAACATTACATTTAGTTAAGGTAAAACAGGTATTTCAAAGTCTTCAGCAACTGGCATCAACCTATATACTAGGCCAGTCTTCACAGGAGCTGCCATTGGCAATTGCTCTACTTCTTAATTTCCTACAGCTGTTATTTAATTGCCACTCATCTTTCTAGCACAGACCTAGAATCCAGTAGGTTTCTCCACCACTCATGCTCATAAAAGCGTTCTGAAATGTGAACACGCATCATCTCAGCATCATTTTGATAAATACTGAGTCTGAACAATAAAATTCTGTATTAGAAATGCTAGCAGCCTCCCAGCTTCTCCAGGGTAACTATGCCTTGTTCTTCCTGTCCCTACAAAACAAGTTCCTTTGCTTTCATCAGAAGGTTCAACAGTAGCATTGGGTTCAACAGTGGGCTCTGAAGAGACATGAAACTACAGGTGTTAATAGCAACTTTATTGTTTCACTGGTGCAAAATCATACTTGTGTAATGCATTTTCCCCTAAATTTACAGTAATGAAGGTTACGCAATATCTATATAGATTCCAATTTCTCTATTTTTATACTATTTGGAACAAAATTATCTTGATAAATACGCCCTGTGCACAGTACTGGCCCTCACTGAATGTCACAGAGCCTTAATATGCAAAATATAACTTCTGTTTTTGAACATGGTACTTTAAAACTCTCCAAACATGCATTAATATATTCTAGTTTTTAGGGAAAAATATTACACTTAGTCTTAACTTGCATTAAAAGAAAAGCACAAGCGGAATCTGACATACAATAATCCCAAAAATCTGGTGCTCTGTAAAAGGATCAGACACCGCTTCAGATGACAGTCACGGCCAGTTTAGAACTCTAGTGCTACAGAAGCAACAGTGAACAGACAGAAGAGAAATCAGAACCGGCGAAGCCCTACCATGTCATACAGATTTCAAAGAGTTGCAGCCATGCTAACTGATGAAACCTGTAGCTGCTGGTCCAACTTTCAAATTTGTTAGAGGACTCACACAAGTGTTTGAAGTGCCAGACTGAACACATGAATGTTAACTCAACTTGACATTTCTGAAAGGCACAACCTATGAATCTATCTTAAAAAACATATGGTATGTAAATGAAAAGTAGTAAGTACAGTGTGTATCTTCCTAAAGAACAAGACCTTCATAAATTGGCCCCTCAGATTCTGGTGATTCCCTCCTCAGACGCAAGTGCTCCAGTGTGTTGTGAAAGTGTTTGTTAATTTGTTCTGTTTCTTCAGTAGACTCAAGGTTTGGGAGATCTTCTCTTATCTTCTGTATAAGCTGATTCAAAACCTGAATTGTCACCTACAAGAGAACATAAACAGAACACAAATCATCAACAAGACCTGTGTATAAGTGAATAGACATGAGTTTTAACAGACTTGTCTCTAAACTACTGGTATTTGGATAGTTTTAGAAATATTGCCAAGACCGTATGCAGACAAACTGCTGGAAACAACCTTCTGTTGCTCCTCATAGGACCATTCTGATTTCAGTTTTGTAGAAGTTCCCCCCCCATCTCAGCAAATGTGAAGAACAACTTAAGTCATTAACCCAATAGCTTTGTAACTTTCACCACAGCATTTCTCTCCAGTTTCTTCAGTACAGATTTAAAAACCTTTAAACAAATAAAGCACATAATGACATTGTCTATGCACTCTAACATAATCTGTTCCTTACATAAGTCAGTCAGGATAGTAATATCAAATGTAAAGTTATTCTTAGTGACCAAATCATTACCTAGGAAAGCACAGCTGCCTAAGTGCCACAGTACACAGCACAAGATGCACTGCAGACCACCACTGTATCCAGAGACTATTTTTACACCTGCAAAGTGCTTTGAAATTCAAAGTTTTATTTTCATCTCGATCAGATACAGCATCTCCTATACTAGAGCACTACTATAGCAGGAAGCCAGTTCAGTTGCTGGAAGGTCGGCAAATCACAGAATCACAGAATGGTAGGGGTTGGAAGGGACCTCTGTGGGTCATCTAGTCCAACCCCCCTGCCGAAGCAGGGTCACCTACAGTAGGTTGTAGAGGACCTTGTCCAGGTGGGTCCTGAATATCTCCAGAGAAGGAGACTCTAAAAATCCCTAAAAATATCTTTAGACATTCTCTCACAATTCATTAACATCTGCTTTTGATGAAGTGATAACATCAGATGGGATGTTGACCTCTACTTGACCAAGCACCTTTTCAAACTGGGGAAGTTTACTAGTTATCTGCTAACAGAAAATGTGTGAGGTAAATAGATTTCAGATACAGAATTTAAGCTGGTACATGAGGTACCATATCTGTTTCTTGAAATTAAAGCTTACACCAACCATTTGTGGCACACTCAGCAGTGACCCTGAATAGCTGTAAGAATTTTCTTTCCCTTATGTATGTATTAAGTTAGGTACTTCTAAAATTAGATGATAAGAAGTCCTAGTATGTTTTGATTTAATAAATATTTCAGGTATCCAAGTCTCACAATATTTAAGTTCATTGCTAAACTGCAAATGTTTGGTATTTTCCCCCACCTAAGAAGAACAAAGTCTTATCCACAGTTTTACTAGCATATCAAGAACTGACTACTCTGTTATTACCAGAACTCGTGCCTCTCATGAAAGACTACAGAGCAAGCTGAAGAGATGTAACTTGGGGTATAAGTGTGAATGAAGAGCTTACAGAAATACTTTTTTAAAAAGATGCAATAGAGAGAACGCATTTCCACTCACCGCCTCATTTTCCTTTTCATAAAAATAGATATATCTATTCAGAATTTCTATGAAAAGTTGGACTTGCAAAGAAGGGTCCATGCACTGATTTGCTATCTTCAGAGCCTTCTTTAGGCATTCCATCACTCTTTTTCCTCCATGAAGCTAGAAGGAAAACAACAACTTATCAGAAATAAAAGAACCTTAAGGAGCTCCAGTATCTCT